CTATACTATACTATACCATACTATATTTATACTATACTATACTATATTTTCTTAGGCTATACTCTATATATATATATATATACACACACTATACTATACACTAAACAGCCATCCAAGCCACTGCCCCAAGAAGAACGGCGGCTGGGGGCCGTTGATGATGCCCTCGCAGTAGACGAGGGCGGTGAAACTGAGAAACAAAGCGCCGACGATGTGATACATGTCCTTAGCAGGCTTAGGGTTTAGGGTTTAGGGTTTAGGCTTCGGGTTTAGGATTTAGGGTTTAGTGTTCAGGCTGAGCGGCTGGTCGCCGACTTTTCTTGAACATGTTGCAACTTGTGCATTTTTGGAAGGTTTGCTGGGGTCCTTTAGGGCCTAGGGCTTTAATTATAGGTCTGTTTGAGGGTTTCGGAGACTCGGAGATTTAGGGCGCTGTAGGCTTTAGGTTTCAGGGCTGGGGGCTCGTGGAGTTCATGGCACATAGAGGCTGCGAATCAAGGTTCGCAGGGACAACGCCAGGACCCCAGGCCTCACACCCGAAGAGCCCTGCCAAACTCAAGAAAGCTTGCAAGGACGATCAAGTAGGTTCTATACCCAAAACCCTTCCTGGACTCTATAAACCCAACCTTCTTAGGGTCCCCAGTTTTGAAATCTTACAGAACTAACTCCTTGGTAGGTTTTTTGGGGCGTGAAGGTAAACCCTAGACCATAAGCCGCAAGTACTCTGTAAACCTGAAATTTAGTCGGCTACTGGCCTGACCGTGAGCTCTGCCAGAGGTCCCGGCTTCACACGGACCTTAACCCAAAGCCTACAGCTTTGCTAAGCCACAGACCCCTCGGATCCCACACAAACACAAGATTGAACGCTAAACCCTAAACCCTTAACTCTAAACCCTAACACCGAGAAAACGCCCGAGAAAACAGGCATAAGCTTGAACAGGCCGAATCCAACATCAGGTCGCCATCTTGTCCACTGTGAGCTTGACCAAATCCTCGATGTCTTCTCGAAAGAGGTCGAAGCGCTCAATTTGCATCTCCACCCTGCACTGAACCCGCTGGCTTTGAGGTTGAAAATGTGACTTAAACCCTGAAATGACTGAAACCTAAACCCTTTTTTGCAACTGACCCTTTTTTACACAGGCTTGATTGGAGCTGACCCTAAACCCTAAACCCCTAAACCGGTGGCGTTAGGCCCTGCGAAGCAAGAAATGTGGGGTCTGCGCGTCAAGCGTGAGAGGTGATGGAGGGGCCTTAAAGACGCAGGAGAGTGCTCTGGTGTATCTAAAACGACTCACAGTCTACGCATACTTAAAAAGCCTTACCCTCAAGCTTAAGGCCGCATATTTCAGAGGCCGTGACTTACAGGTAAGACGTTTCTGCTATTTTGAGCCTAAAACCTTAAACCCTAAACCCTAGAGCCTTCGGGTCAGGAGTGTGCTGGCGTTAAGCACTCGCGTGAAAAGTTATAAAGTAGCATAACCCCAATTAGGATCCCTCTGAAGGGTACTTACAATGCCATAAAATAGCTACTTCCTAAGTCCCAACGACGCTTAAGCATGGTTTAGGCATAGGGCTCAATCTACAAGTAAATGATTCAGAGTCGGAAGGGGCTGGGAAGACGGGATAGAGCTTGACTCGGGATTCCTATTCCTCTGACCCTTTTTGCAGCGGGCTTGCCGGGCGACGATCATCTGACCCCTCTTTTCGGAACCCTACCTGCAGCCACACGAAAACAACAACATCAACAACGACAGCAGCGCAACGTAGAGCAACCAAAAACAGCACTGACTGGCCTCATAGGGAGGGTTTACATCCGCCACAGTCCGCTGCCCTACGAACACAAAGCCCATGTAGCATTGGGCTTTTGGCCTCCTGGGGACCCCCATATAGTACCCTAAATAGTAGGATCCTCGTAATACTAAGGACCCCGAAATCACAATATAGTACCCTAACTAGTAGGATCCTTATAATATTAAGGACCCCAAAATAATAATATAGCACCCTGAATTGGAGGATCCTTACAATAAGGACCCCGAAAAATAAGGTAACCCCCCTGTATTCTCGGAAACTCCCAATTCGCTGCGCCGCACCTCTGCATGTCCCTCTCCAAGCGCTGCTCTTGATCGAACTTGTAGTTCTCCCGGTTGTAATCGAAGAGCTCCTGCAAGGGAGTAGTTTAAGGTTCAGGGTTTAGGGTTTAGGGTTCAGGGTATGGCTTTGCGGAATTCGGGTTTTCGCTTGAAATCGTGCAGAAAGGTTTGGACGTGGAGGTCTAGGGCGAGGGTACAGCAGGGATCTGTGCATGTCGGTTTTTTTTGCATCTGGGCTTGGGAAGTCGGCAGGTGTTTCCTAAACCCCGAACCCTGTCTGCCTAAACCCTAAACCCCGTGCTGCCTGAACCCAAAAAATTGGGAATCGGGGTAACATATGGGCACGATCAGTTGTGTGAGGGCCACCGGTTTGAAATTTTGCGGTTGTATGTCGGGTTGAAGGTAAGACAACCCTTATCAAGAGCACTGATCACACCCGTTCGAAGTCCCATGATCCTTCAAGTAGGGTTTGGGGGACATTGTTCAGCTTTTATATAAATCGCTCGAGTGTTCAAGTGGCTCGGTGCAGGGTTACTGCTTGCTTTCGCCGGGTTTGGTAGTCCAGACAATTGTTCCGCCAAGAATTTAGAAGTTTAGGGTTGCGGCAGGCGGCAATACTCCTGATGCATGAGCCTCTTTCTGTCAGCGCAATAATATAACGGGCTCAGCAGAACCCTTATGAAGGGACTTGGTCTGTCTCCATCCCATGCTTGCGCTTCCCAACAAGCTCCTTGGAAGCCAAACCAAAAGCTTCGAGCAGAACCATGGCGTCGGCAACGAATGCAACGTGCACAAAGGGTCTCAGAATCGAGGCACCAGGACGAGAGCCCAACACCCCCAAAGAAGCAAGGGAAAGTGAACCAACGTCACCTGATAAGTTTGAGTTGGGTCTTTCTGAAACGGTAGCGGGCTCCCCGATCCCGAAATCGTTCAACGAAAGCTTCAGTCCGAAAGCTCTGTGACTTAAGCCACACGCATAGTATGTACTGCGCAGCATGTCAGATGTAGTGCAGCGCTAGCCGTGTATAACTGACAAAGCCAGTCTATACTGTACTACGATACTTTGAAGCGGTACTGTGCGATTGGTTGGTCTTCCCGAAAAACTGCTCTCACTACCGCTTTCAACTTTCAGCCGAGATCGCGCAGGGCACAGCGGAATCCACACACCCACGTCCCCAATAGGTTTCGGCTTCAGGTGCGGGTACCGTAACTGCATAACTATACATGTAAGCCGGGGAGAAGGACGGAAACGACACAGGCAATTACTTCAGCATGCAAAGCATCTCCCGGTTATGAACAGATGCGGTTGCACAGCGAAACAGAGTACAATGAAACATCAATTTGTTAATGTACATATAATACACGCAGTACGTCTGCATCTGTGTGAATGTGTATTTTTGGCTACCACTTGGCACCGCTGTGAAGTCTGCCGTATCCGACATGTGAATGTGTATGTATGTATGTATGTATGTATGTATGTATGTATGTATATATATATATATGAGAGAGACACCTCTAGGGTATATTTAGCGCCTCGCTTCCTCTATATATTTAAATATTTCAATTAT